GGAATGCCTGAATATCACTTACACCACTTTTCAGTATGTACCAGTTTATCTTACTCGTTTCCCTGCAGTATCCCATTTCTCAGGGGTGTTACACAGAGTCCTACCTGCAGAAAATGCTCAAGGTAACTCGTCAGCAGAAAGCTTCTTATTTACATGTAACAGTAATTATTATTTTTTTTATGATGTAAACAATGCAATGAGTACCCACCTCAGCTGTCTGAAGAAAAGACAGGTTTAAAAACCAGAATTGAGAGCTTTTTGGTCCTTTGACCTCCACAGGAAAACGTACAATTAAATTCAAGCAGCTAGAAAGGAACTGCACTGCAGAAAGCCCCCTTTGATGATAACACCACCTTTCTTTCAGCAGCAGCATTAACAACAATAGGAGCCAGCTATCTAAAGCCTCCCTTTGTTCAGCTCATCCTGGATGTTGTCTGAAGTGGGATTTGGAGAATACTATATTCAGAGAAAAGCAAGTTTAGAGGGATTTTGTTGATATCAGATTTGAATGAGAAGTGATTTGGTGTGCTTTTCTAAAGACAGAAAAGCTTCCAGCTGACAGCTAATGCAGGTATCCATAGTCAGATATAACAGAGTGTTAATGTATCTACAGCGTAAAGACAGATAATGCCTTGCTTATGTTTTAGGCACATTTATGTGTGACAAGTATTATCTAGAAATTGCAGAACATGATGCCAAGAAGTAAGTCAATAGACTGCAAAGAAAAAAGAGAGGGGGAAAAAAAGGAAAAAATAATTAAAAAAAAAAAGAAAAAAGGGAAAACAAATAAACACAGGGGGAAAAAAATCTCTGCAAAGTGAGATCCCCTCGGTGTCTTCCGCTGTTTTGCAGATGTTTCTCTTCTTTGATCACCTGTAACGAGAAAGAGGAAAGGGAAGGAGCAGAGAGAGAGAGAGAGAGAGGGAGAGGCAGAGAGAGAAACGCGCTTGAGAAGTTCTGAACTTTAGCACCTGACTTTTTAGGCAGGAGTAAACCCATCCCATCGCTCGGCAGCCATCCCTGGGAAGAGCCCGCTCTGCCCTGGACCCACCTCTCCCCAGCTCCTCTTTCTCTTTCGCTCTCTCCTCTCCCGGCTCGGAGCGCAGCACGGTAGCCCTCCC